ATTATAAATTATAAATATATATTATATAATATATATAATAATAATAATATTAATTATATAATTAATATAATATTTATTATATTAATATATTATAAAAAATATATTATATTATATTATAAAATATATATATATATATATGTGTTAAAAACTTAGAATTAATTTTTAAAATTTAATTTATATAGAAAATTTTCTATAGATTGATTGTCTGATCAAATTTTTAATTAATTGTAATTATTCGTTAAAACTCAAAACTTTTCAATGATATAAATATGTTTTTTATTTTCTTTTTTGATATAAAACGCTATTACTAATTTTAGACAAATGAAACATTACATTTACAAATTGTTTGCCATTTATTTGAATCTTGTTTTTTTTTTTTTTTCAGATAATAGCCAAGAAGAGAAATAAAAATTGGAAAAGTGTGATGAGATTAATCGACTTACAAGAAAGTCTCGGTTTTAGTTTGGAAGAAATGGTATCAGTTGTGATGGAGGATCTCCATGAAGAAGCTTACACCATGGACGAGGTAACTGTCGTGTTTTTAAGACGAATCCCAAACCAAAAGACGATTTATTGGGTTCGCAATAAATCTAAAAGCTTAACTTCGAACAACGATATTTTCTTTTTCTTTTCTTTTTTTTTTATTGTCTTTCTTTCTTTATTTTTCTGTTTTTACAGATTTGTGAGTGTCTTTCAACGACTTATGAAAGATTAAAGGAATCATCTCAAATTGCTAACTTTAATACCACGCAAATGTTCAAACTTCAACAACGAGCATTACACGTGTTCCAAGGTAAATTATTTCTAGAATTATTTAATAATTTTTATTTCTGATATTTCATTTTATTGAGAATGAAAAAAGAAAAAAGAAAAAAGGGAAAAAAGTAACTGAACAAAAAAGAAAAACTCCCCATTTTCATATATCGAAGTAGTAAAATAAATTTTTTAACGAGCATAAGGCATTTGTAATAAATTCAAGCACGTGCATGGACTACTTTACAAATCCTATTAATTTTCGTGACAACTACATATCGATTTGCTTCGGTGGATTAATAACTTTGCAGATATTCCAACTTAGATAACGAGTTTTGCATGCATTTCAACTTGTGGAAGACGATTGTGTTTGAAAAAGGGGAAAATTATTTATAACTTGATCCATTGAAATATTTCAATCTTATATCGATTAAATGATAATTCTATAAAGAACAAGACAAATTTCATTATGAGATCAATTATAAAATAAAAATGTAATTGTATGAATTGTTTTACAATTTTTATTAAATTTTCATTACAAAACGATTACGATATCAATTACTTGCAGGATTAATACTTCAGCAGATATTTAAACTTTACGTCTATTTCAAGTTACTGAATTATTTTAACGATAAATTGTTTCAAATATGAATTATATGAAATAAATAAAATAATAATTAAAATAGATGAAATAAAGATGAACAAATTATTTCAAATATGAAATAAATAAAATAAATTAAATAACAAATTATTTCAAATATAAAATAAATAAAGAACAAATTGTTTCAAATACAAATTAAATAAAAGAACAAATATTTCAAATACGAATTAAATAAAATAACCAATTATTTCACATATAAAATAAATAAAATAATAATTAAAATAATAAGAATAACAAATTATTTCAAGTATAAAATAAATAAAATTACAAATTATTTCAAGTAATAAATAAATAAAATAAATAAAATAACAAAGTATTTCAAATATAAAATAAATAAACTAACAAATTATTTCAAATATAAAATAAATAAAATAGCAAATTATTTTAAATATAAAATAAATAAAATAACAAATTATTTCAAATATGAAATAAATAAAATAATAATTAAAATAATAAGAATAACAAATTATTTTAAGTATAAAATAAATAAAATTACAAATTATTTCAAGTAATAAATAAATAAAATAAATAAAATAACAAAGGTCTTTCCGTAAGGTCTTTCCGATAAGTCAGTAGGGTCTTTCCGATAAGTCCGTAGGGTCTTTCCGAAAAGTAGTGAGGTTTTTTCCGAAAAGTAGTGAGGTTTTTTCCGAAAAGTAGTGAGGTTTTTTCCGAAAAGTAGTGAGGTTTTTTCCGAAAAGTAGTGAGGCGATAACTACGAAGCATAGCATAAAGAGGAGACCGAGAATAGGAAAAACTGTATAGCTACATTCCGTCTAATTCTCTCGCAGGCTCAATCCTATATGTTTGTCTTTTTTTCTCTCATTATTTAATATAGTAGCCGTTTAATAGCTTCGTTACATAGCTCCGTTTCCGCTTATTTACTTTTCAGATCACTCCCATTCCAAAGAAGTTTTCACTTCAATAAAATAAATAAAAACTGATGTGAAACTAAATTGAACCAAATTCTATAAAAAAAAAAAAAATTAAACTATATGAAATATTTAAAATAATAAGAAAAAAAATAGAAATAAAGGTTATGACTTATCAATCAAACACCATGCTTCTTGCATTCCCATACGAATCCTATAAATTTTCACGAACGACGACATATCGATTGCGTCTGACACACATACATACTTCAGACCTTGGCATCCTGTGAGAGCATCACACCTTCATGGAATTTATTGCCCTGGAGACGTAACGAAAAGCAAAAGACGAGAGAGGAGATATAGAAACCCTCCAAAGAAGATTCCCACACTCTTCTTACCTTATACCTTTTATACTTTTACCGAAGAATATCGAAAAGAAAACGTTGAGAAAATCGTCGATTTTGTTTCTATTTTTATTACTTCACTACCACCACCATTACTACCACCAATACAATTATACCTTTCAAACTTCCCATCAATTATTTTGCCTTTTTTATTTTCTTTTTTAAAAAAATTATATTTTACATTATTTTATTTCAATTATACCACTTACTATTATTTAATTAAACCACCACCACCATCAACCACTTTTGAAACATCGTATCCATTATTTGACTTTTAGTTTCTTTCTAAACTATATTTAAAATTATTTGATTTTAATTATACCACTTACTATTATTTAATTAAACCACCACCACCACCATCAACACAATTTATACCTTTGGAACTTCTCATCCATTATTTTGCCTTTTTTATTTTCTTTTTTTACAAATTATATTTTAAATTATTATATTTTAATTATACCACTAACTATTATTTAATTAAACCACTACCACCGTCAACCATTTTTGAAACATCGTATCCATTATTTTATTCTTAGTTTTTTTCTAAACTATATTTAAAATTATTATATTTTAATTATTCTACTTACTATTATTTAATTAAACCATCAGTACAATTATATCTTTTGAAACCTTTTCACAACCATTATTTTACCTTTATTTTTTTCCAAACTATATTTAAAATTATTTTATTTTATTTATACCACTTACTATTATTTAATTAAANACCTTTTCACAACCATTATTTTACCTTTATTTTTTTCCAAACTATATTTAAAATTATTTTATTTTATTTATACCACTTACTATTATTTAATTAAATCACCACCACCACCACCATCAACTACTTTTGAAACATCGTATCCATTATTTCGCTATTTTTTTCTGAACTATATTTATAATTAATATTTCAATTAAAATAGAGAACACATATTCAATTGTTTAAAATAATATTGATTGTATAAATGTTTCAGAAGCTAACAGAGTTATTGAATTTCAACGTATAAACAATGATGACACGTTAATGGAAGATGTGAAAGTTCGGTTATTAGGTGAATTGATGTCAAAAAGTCATCTTAGTCTTTGCAAGCTTTACGAATGTAGTCATCCACGTGTCGATGCACTCGTCGACAAGGCCATCAATTGTGGAGCACTCGGTGCTAGAATTACGGGAGCTGGGTAAGTCCCAAAATCTTCCTGTATACATACATACATATATATATATATATACTTTTCACAAGATTCATAATCGT